AGTTTCCCTCAAGGTCAAATGTAACCCTCCTCTCCCAGCAACCAAACGCAACTCCTTGATGGGTTCTGCACAACAATGCTGTACCCTAACATAGTTGTTGGCCTTTAAAATTAGTGTGAACCTTCAAAGTATTGGAATAATGTATATATGTAGAGCAAATTTTTAGGTGGCGAATGGGCAGATTTCGGATACCACACTATTCGTGTTGGTCCTGCTACTTCCTCCGTGCGATGTCTTTGTGTCGTGGCAAGCAACATTTGGGCAGCCTACAAAAACTGTATCGTAGTAGTGGATGGGGAAAACCTGCAGATTGTTGTGAGTCAATTTAATTTGTTTTGTGAGCTTTCAACTTTTCACAGAGCTCGACTATTGGTGGCTGGGTCCACAGGAATTACTGTTTCTGTATTTCAGAAGGTATTCGCTGCACACCCGCGCCGGGACAGCCAAGTGCGTGCAGTTCAATGGGTGGGCGCAGGTGTCTGGATATCGATACGACTGGACTCCACCCTGCGAATGTATCATGCCCATACATTTGAACATCTTCAAGATGTCGATATTGAACCGTATGTGACCAAAATGCTCGGTGTGTTTGATTGAGTTTTAGTCATTTTGAGTTATTTAAATTCATTTTCATCAATAGCGCAACTTTCAGGTACTTCACGGCTAGACTTCTCATACATGCGCACTACTGCTCTACTCATATCTAACCGACGCCTCTGGATTGGCACTGGAACAGGAGTTGTCATCTCAGTACCGCTGAGCGACAGTATGTTGCATGGCTGAAGTTAAGTTCTACCGTTATCCTATGGCCCGATTTCAGGCTTGGAGCAGAAGGTGGAAACGAACGACGCTAAGAAGTCTCCTGGTGGACCTGGTGGATTAGTGCGAGTGTATTCAAATCATAAAGATCTAAAAGATGTAAGACCGCTAAGACTGACCTTTTTGATTTTTATGACCATACGACCACCTTGAAACTTCATGGGATTTTTCTAGGATACGTCTTCGGCAAGAGTTGGTGGTGGAGCCTTCATACCGTATTGTAATCTAACACAAGCTCAGCTTTCTTTCCATGGCCACAAAGACAGCGTAAAATTCTTCCTTGCCGTACCAGGTTCATCTTTTATTTTGTTTTTTTAAATTTTGTCTGAATAATTTCTCAGCTGTAATGTTTTCTATAATTTTGAATTGTGCTGTAGTTTTTCTATACTAGCAGGATTTTGCTATTCTTGAACTGGTCATGACTGCCATCTTATAACTTTTCCTGGTATCGATGCATTCCTGTGTTTAGGCGCTCGCCGTGAAGTGGAGGACGATCAAGAGGCCGAGCTACGGAAAATGCTGGTTATTTCCGGAGGTGACGGCTACATCGACTTCCGGATAGGTATGACTTTATGCTGTTCAAGGTCCTTGTATGGTTTGTACTGCTTATGGCTGTCACACATAGCCAAAAATATATTGCAAGGGCTTAATGTACCTATTCTGCTTCTCCAGAATCCGTTAGTGAGAGTTGTTGCGGCATTCGGAAAGGTTGGAGTGTAGTGAGAAGTGGCGCCGCTGTTTCATGCAGGTCCGAAGAATTTAGTCGCTCTGATCCATCCAGTCCTTCTACCTGAGGGCTAGCGTATCGAAACGTCCGAGGTCATCCCGCGATAAACCTCGCACTGATACAGCTAACTGTGGATCTGGGCCTATCGGGCACTGGCTGTGGGGGTGGGAGGGCCGCGATTCGTGAGCTCGTGAACTGGGTGTGATATACGGGACGATAGCCGAGTAAGGGGCAAGATGAGGCTGGCGGGTGGCATTGAGAAAGCGTACGCTTTACGCGACCGTGATGCCGGTGCGAAAGAGCCATAGAAGTCGTGACGTCGTGCCTTCCGGTCGAGGGGAGACATCTGGACCGTCTGACAGAGCAGTGGAATTCTGGTAGCCATACAGATTGGTCTAAGGGAAGGCTGAATAAGACAACACTCGACTTGTACCATACGCCTGAGTCTTCCACCATGTCGCTACGCCATAATAACCTATGATTGTTGCAGTGTGAGCGTAGGTCCCAAACAAAGAGATTGTACAACCGCCAAGCTTATCTGCCATCGTCAAGTGAGTTGAATGTGTCCGTCCATCTGTGAAAGAGCAGCTTGACTTTCCGGGCCGAGTTGAGGGAAGTATCTGGTCGGCACTCATCGTTATCCTTTATTCATGGAATCGTTACTGACAGACGCTCACCGACGGCGAACCTGCCATACGCATGCGGAAGTGGTTTGTATACTAGACGGTAAGCGTGAACGGTAAGGCAGGTGTCAGGCATGTAGGCGCCGTTGGAGGGTTAAGTCTTTCGGCGCAAACATTCTCAGCGACAACATGGAGCGGTACTCCTGCTGCTTGTTGTTAAAGTGCAGCTTCAATGGTAACAAGTCGTTCTAGCGAAAAATCTGTTATTAGTGATAGAAATGAGCCGCCAATCCGTAACTAAAGGGGTTCGAGCACGGGATATGTCACATCTTATCATTTGGGAAGTTGACGCCGAATTGCCAGTGGTCTCCAGTTGATAATTGTAGTCCTATCAATTGTCCTTTGTGTTGACTTCCTCGCTGTTGGGCGGAAAACATAGCTGAACCAAATGGTATTTGAGTTTCACCGCATGGTACTAGTTCGCAGATTGCATTGGAGAAAACTACTTTTACAGCTTAGTTACTGTTAGCTCCATCGGTTCTTCTCAGTCTTTGCGAAATGTCCTTCATGTCCCTTTGGGTGTAAATCTTCACCCTTCTCACTTCCGTAAATGGGCACTCTCTTATTTGCCCCCCCGGGCCCTCTCCCGTGCTACATGTTTTATGTAAAGTAACTCTTTAATGTGAGTAGAAATGGTCTTGCCTTTTCAACCAAAAAACAAGGCTTCCATTTTCCCCAAGGCATGTTTTACCACCCATAGGCTCTGTTTCTTAGTTTATGAATTGAAACTCTTTCAATAAGCTCCCACTGGGGATATTCTTTTCAATTTCGAAATGATCTGGGTAATTTTCAGTGGTAAATTGTATTTACGAAGCAGTTATCTCTATGAAATTGAACGTTGGCCTCTTTCATCCCCTATAACCCTTGCTGACATTTTCTCATTCATTATTATGCCACCTTGTCACCACATGCATTGCTAGTCGTTCGTTATTTGTGATTGTACGAGATCTTGCAGCCGAAAATTTTAATAAATTCGTATGAATTTATATTTTTGTGATATTGTGATCAAAAGGAGCGTTGTTCTGATAAAGTGCTTCGTTTTCGATCGAATATGCACCATGTTCCTCTAAAGATATTTCCAGATGGCTTTACGGGTACAGCATTGTAAAAAGGCAATGGAATTCTTCATAGACCTAGGTATGTCTCGAGCTTATTAAAATTAAATTTGGAATTTATTCAAGTTTAGCTGAGCGCGGTGTCGATTAGGAGATCCACGTTGTGGCAAAGTGTACAAAATAGCTGACTGTTCCTTTCTAGTTTACTTGACAAATGTAATACCTTTGGATGAAATCATTTAGGTTCCGATGCAAATGTCGCATGCGCGACGGCATTACACATCCGCGTGTTTCAACGTAAATTTCGTGATCGACACCCAGCGCAGCGATGCTTGTTCTTAAGAGTTTGGGTGTATTCTACAAAAAAGGGGTAAGGGGCGTTTTGGGATTGCGGGTCACTGGGATGAAGTTTTCTGGGCGCTGTTCGGCTCGAAGAAGGGAGGGGAGCGGAGGCGGGAGGGGGGATACTTTCTTGTTGCTAATTTCGTTAGTCTCCTCACTTTTGTGGACCGGTTTTGTCAACTCATGTGTGAGACTGCGAAATAAGACAAGTTCCGCCTAACAGCTTTGTCGGGGGCTGTAAATTAGTGCCGAGTTTTCTTCGAAGACACAGCTATTACAAACGATTCAATGACTGCATGTTTCTCAAAACTTTTCCTTGTAAATGCCGTCCGGTACCAATCTTAATCATTATCCTTTTGGGGCTCCACCGTGAACGAAAACCACCATAAGCCAAGGGAACCCCGCCTCAGCCTCCCTGCACTGAGATGACCCTATCTGTGCGGAGGTTTCAACGCACTGTCTTTCGTTTCCTGTGAAACTGTCCGACCGTAGGGTTCGTTATCTTACGGCTCTGTAATTTTGTCTGGGGACCCTTGCAGCTGCCTCGTTTGTTCGAATGTTTTCCAGTGCTCAGGCATTTAGGCCCCATCCGACAATTCTGTCCCTATTTTTTCGCTCTCAGTTAGCTCATGTGAATTCATACTTGGACCTCACTGTCCCACAAATTGCAATTGTGGCATGTGTCTCCAAACAAGACTGCAGTCTTTTTTTCGCTGCGGATGAATTAGGTGTCAGGAGGTATGGCTTGGCGCGGCGCCAGACCCGTTCTGCTCCAGTTGCTGAAGCGGGCAAGCGACAACTGTTGGTGAAAAACAACCGAAAAGACTGTATATGTCTAGCGATCGAAGAGCAAGTTCGAAGGTTATCAAATTCAGCAGTAAAGTTGGATTGACTACTCACCAGATCTAGTGGATAGAAGAGTTTTGTAGAATAAAGTTGCAATTTCAAGTGTGCTGTTGCCATGTACACGAAACTCATGAATGTTACTTAATAGTCAGGCGGTGGACGGCGGGCGTATCTTCAGTATCGAGAACTTCCTGGCAAGATACTAGACTTTCATCATACTGAAACACCGTTCGAACGACGAGGAGAAGGCATTGCAAAACTTCTTGTGAAGGTAAGTACTGAAAGAGACCAGTTAAGTGCTTTCTCTTGTAAACAGCTGTTTGAGTGCAAGTGCTAGTCAGACACAACAAAATGGGCTTCTCTGCTCAAGGTTCACCATGCACGTTACGATTGTTTGGGTTTATTTCCGCGGTGGCGACTGTTTTTGCTGCCTTTGCGATAACAGAGTACAGCAGCCTTGCGATATTCTATCGTCATGAACCCTGTAAACGATAGGGCATGTGTCTGCACGTGGATTGAAGCGCTGCCAAGGCGACCTCTTCCACAACTGATGCCATTTTGAGTTCGCAACAAAGTGAGTTGAATCGCAGCCAAAACAGCATCTCGCGCCCGTTGTTGCGGACTCAGGATGGCATCATTGATGGGAAGGACGCCTTGGCAGCACTTCAGTCCATGTCGCCGTCACACGCCCTATCGGTTGCAGGAATCATGACAGCATATTGTTGCCCGCAGCGCTGTACATAACCTCCAAGTTAGTTCTGGGTTTGCGTATCATTAAAGGAGCGGTCCGCGATGACCTATGAAAATGCAAGAGGTTATGTGGGAAGGTAGTGCGGTCCGGAGTGGACAACCCTGTGCCAGTTTCGCGGCGGAAAGTTGTACGGTAAAGGGATTAAGGCGCAAAGTTGCTTCAGTGGTACATCCCTTTTTCCAGTGACTCCGCCTCCAGACTCCGCCTCCAAAGTCGGCCTTCCAGCCAAAAGTAATGCTCCCGGGCAAGTATCATGGAGTGGATGCATTCAATGTCTCTTGTAGAGTCATAGGGTTCATTACTGGGAATCAGCCGACGGGAATTGTCCCAGCGCGCGGTCTTTTCGGTCTTTTACCTCTACAGTTGTTTGAGGCTAGAGGAGGCCTGACGAATGCGTTTCCAACGTTCCCTTTGGCATTTTCTCTTCATAGATGGTTCACTTGGCGAATTTTCTTCCACATTTCTGCAAAATCACCTAGGCTTTTTATCGCGGACCGTGCCTTTAAGCCGTACAAGGTTCTTAATACGGACCGTTTCGACTAAATCGTCGTTGTCAAGAACCTTAAACGGCTGCACTTAACCTTTCCTGTGCACATTTCGTATTGGGTGGTGTTCGAAGAAGTGAAGAACGAAAAAACACAGGTGAGGGGATAGACAGAGCAAGGAAACGCTTGAATGAAGAGAAGGAATTGCGAGCATGCAATGAGAGTTGGGGCGTAAGGAACGAACAGTAGAAAGGGGTACGCAGAACGAGGGTAAGGATACCACGATCGTTTCGCTTTTTCCAAATTGCCTACCGCTTTTGCGTCATCACGCTTACAGTCGCTCTGCAAATTGAACTTCATGCATTGGTCAGGCATCTTCTAGAGGCCAGACAGATCTTTGACGCTGCCGGCCGTGGAGTATTCGTCTAATCCACTTCCACGGATGCTCCATAGAAACACCTGCACCTAAAGAGTTGCCGGGGCTTTTCGATGCGTATCCGAAACATCCGGTCCAGTTAGGTCAAGGTTCTATCCTGCTCCATGTCGCGTGTCGATTATCCACTATGATTCGCAAAATGTTATGAGGCTTGCGCTTGAGCACATGGTTCAGCGGCTCGCACCGTATGTTCGTATGGATTGCCGTACGCCTAGTTGATTCCACTTTCACGTAACCCCTTTGAAGCGCTACAATCCAATAGTGGGCCGTTTCAAGATATGCACGAAGCACACTTATTGAGCGGCCACTTAACAGTGGAAATGTTGTTAGTCAGCGGAAAATTCAGCATGTATCACGAGGAGAGCGTGCAGGCCACAGCAGCAGAAACTTTGAAACCTCTTCCTCGCCTGAACACACTACTATCAACACGAAACACATCACCGCCGGTAAGATCCGCCAGGTAGGCACGGCCCTCTCCGCGGCCGCGTGTGTGTGTACAAAGAGTACGCCTGGGAGACGAATTGGCGCGTGGCTGAGTGCCATTATACCGCTGGTAGCGGCTTTTCGGTGTATTGCCGTTCTGATAGCGGAATGCAACTCATGCTTTTGTGAGCGACGAACGACAGTTGCCTCAAATGCAAGTAACCACGAAAAAAACGCTGCTGACGCCGTGATTGCGAAGTGACAGTGTGCCAGTCAGCCCCGTCCATCTTTAGATTACGATGTGTACTTTCCTGCGAAATTTCGATAGCAGAGTGATTTTTCCTTATGAAAAAAGGATTATGATTCTTATTTACCAGGAAGGCCTTCAAATCATGCTGCCAGATAAATACAAAATCGCAACCAACATGTTGGTATTGTGCTGAATATGTGGGAACACAAGCGCGAGCGATGGAACGAAAAATCTCTCAACAACTGTTTCGTCGTGGAATAAACCCTTGTATGTATTTCTTGCTTACCCGTTGACTGGGAAGCTAATTGTGGGCGAGGTAGGCGCATAGAGGCAGTCTATTGTGCACTCAATGGTGCCCAACAGCCCAAGCGAGTAATTCTCAGATGTCTGCGAAACGACCTTCGTACGCTGAGCGCCTGAACTGCTGGCCAGCCTTTCTGGATCCAAACACAATATCCGACTTTAGATTCACTTTCGAATATAAAATGTAGAAAGGACAGATCAGGAGGATGCGGTCCTCCGTAAGCCTAATATAAACGAGAAGGGGCAGAACTGCTTTATTCGAAATCCACCATTTTACTAACCACCTTCAAACTAACAAAACTCCGTTGTGTTTTGAACTGTGATCCTTCTGATCAACATTGTTAATTTTTGAAATCAGAGAGGAACGCCATATTTTGCATTTAAAAGCCAAATAAATATTTATCAACCAATGTAAGCTGTTTTTTAATTATTGGTTTATTCCACAGCGAGTATCTCGACCATCTGAAGAAAGACCCACGTTTCGTACAGCAGTCCTCTTTAGGGAATAAACAGGTCGCTTTCCAAATGGCGTTACGGGTGCAACATTGTAAGAAAGCCATGGAATTTTTTATAAACTTCAGTAAGTTTGTGGCTTTGGCACTCAAGTTTTCGACTTCTATTTTGCTAAAGTTCCAGTTGTCTGGTACAGTCTTGTTCAGTGCGGATGGTGGGCGCCTTCCAGTGATGTAAGGGGTTTGCCGCGCCCATAGCTCGTTCTCCACCAGTTGCTGAAGCAGGTGGGCGACAACAATTGGTGGAAAGCGACTGACACGGACGTTAGATACAGTCCTTCGCTCGCTCCATTTTTTGACAACTGGTTGTGGGTGTGGTTTGGCGTAGCGCCAAACCCATCCCTCCTGGGACTCCCCATCAACCGCAGCGAAAGAGACTGAGCAACGAACAATCAATATAATACGCTTAGAGTTTCTCTAGGGGCGTAGTGCTTCGGAGAGTACAGCTTTCGGTTTGAAGCTTTTGATCAAACCCTTCCAGGATGCGCCACGCCTGCTTCCATTCAAAGTCGTAGTAGCAGGTTGAATGCGATTAGGACTAGACAATGACTAGCGGTACTTGACCATGTACACACTAATATTCCATTTTCTCGGTCGAGTCTGGTGCTACTTAGAGAACGGGATGGAAGGCTTAAGAGCTGATCTGGGATTTTACCGCCGAACCGCTCTTGTGGAAAGCGTCGCTATCCATCACGCATATGACACGCGCTGGTCGGCATTCAAGGTATTGTATCGGCTCCTTCCGGGCTAAAGCCTTCGAGCCCTCACGCGGTATCGGCTGATTTAGTCAGAATGACTCGGGAGGATACAAAGCGCGCCTGTATCGCATCATCGCGAGTCATTCCATGGTCCTAATCACGCCCAGCAAGGTGGTACGGATCTGAAGGAAGAATGTGTGACCCATACCGAAAAGGATTGATTAACTCCATTAACTTTACTTCTTGAGCTTTAAGTTGCTATCTTTTAGAATTGATAGACTGCTTGAACCTGATGTTCTTTTGAAACAGAACAAATTAGGTAGCGCAGTCGAGCCTTGCTGCATTATCAAGAGCTCCCTGGACGAGTGCTTGATTTTGATCCACACTGAAACTCCTGCAGATCAACAAGGAAAAGGCATTGCTAAGATCCTTGTTCAGGTATGTTTGAATGTTTAGTCAGGCTTCTCCATGTTTAGTTTGGCTTCTCCCTCTAAAAGCTTGCCTCGCGTTCATTTGGTACTCGGATGCCTCCTTTGGGCAAAATAGTTTGTTACTATGCCGTATGCTCAGAAAGTACCGAGGAAAGCGCTATCGGCTCGCTACGAGTAGGCTCTCCCACTGGCCACGGCGACGCCCAACTTGCCTTTTCAGTTGCTAGCTGGGTGGGTCGGTTGTTCCTCTACTCACTCTTTCCATTTTGAGCAGTGGAAGTAAGGTGATAAGAAGGAAAAATCGGATCGTCAAGTAAGACTCGTCCGACCACGCCCACACTTCGTTTTATGCAGCGTCAAGCGCGCGCGGTTCTTAAAATGGGCGTTTCCCAGGTTTTGTTTTTTACTTGAAACATAAACTAGACACAGCAGCACGACTGACATTTGAACGTAGCGGCCTTTGTTGTGGAATGCTCAAGGAACTGTTTTTCCAATTCATATCTATGGTTTTACAATACTCACTATAGGTACTACTCCAATAAAGTCTTTTCAGGAAGGTCTCAAATATGCAGCTGAAAATAACTACAAAATAAAACCAACATGTCCGTATGTGGCGAAGTATGTGAGTGAAAAGGGAACGCCCGATGAGAGAAACACTTGTAGTTCACTAAGTTATTTTCGTGCCTATGAAAATGAGTTTGAATTTTTGGATTAGATTAGAGTCCTGAGCTTTATTGTTCCGAAACCTCCGCAACGAATAAAGACGGGATTTTGCTGTTGTTAAAACTTTAAAAATGAACTTTCAGGTACAATTCTTTTTTTCAGGTCGGCCTATTCTTTAAAGCAGTTGAAAAAAATTTTACCTAGTCTCACAGCACTAGTGTAGGACTAATAGTCTAGAGACCGTAGAGGGGTTCACTCGCAAGGAGTTCTCGATAGGTGTATTAAAGTCTTTGCAAAGAGGTAATGTGCAGGGCATGCTGAGGGGAGTTGCACTATCAGTGGAAGAGGGTGACATGCACGAGGGTTCAGCCTACTTTAGAACAAGTGTGAGGCGATGGCCAGCTTCCAGTGAGTGGAAGGCGTTGGGCGGGACGGGGGAGGCCGCCAAAGTTGCTCCCTCCCCCGATCTGACACCAACATCCGCAGCGAACAAGGCTGCATATAGATCTCTCGTTTCTGACAAATTTTTATACCCCTCTCTGATACGGGCTTTTTATAAAACTGAACAGAAGGAGGTCGGCTACCCTGAGAAATCGGACACTGGAAGGTGCTACCGGAGGCAAAGGGGGGCGGGGAAGCACAGCACTGAAGGCCGTCATCACCATGACGTCGTGCTCTGGGCTGGACACGCACCTTGTTTCCATAAATGCTGTATGGCTGGACACGCACCTTGTTTCCATAAATGCTGTATAAGTGCTGTGTCACACATATATACGATGCGATGAGATAATGTTGATATAGTATGTTTTTTTTTTTTTTTTTTTTTTTTTTTTAGTATGTTTAAATGGCCTTGGAAAATTTAAATTTTATTTTGATTAAATACTTATTATCGACTTACATAGATTTTATGTTACAGTGTCGGACTAGACGACAAAGTGTTTTGGACAGAAGTTTAAAGGCACATTTCACGGATAACTGAGAAATATAGCCTCTTCCTGAGCTAGTTAATAGTTACTGACTCACATTTGAACTCGTATAATCCGCAGCCTTTACTCGTGAAATAAGCCTTTAAGGGAACCGCTCAACAGGTCTACGATCATAAAACGATACAACAATAACGTAAAAATTATTACAGGAATGACAGATAGCGATAAAAAACTACAAATATACACACATTACGAATTAGACCTTTTTCTTTCCGTCTTTGAACCAACTCACGCTGTCGTCCTTCTCAATCTCTCTGCGTATCATCTCATCGGCCTTCGGATCGACTTTGCTAAGTTCGCGGAAACCTTTGTCGCCAACAAAACAAATTTCGTGGTCATCCTAAAAAAATAAAATTGCAGTCATTCACATGGTGCCTTGCGACAGACTCTTCAGCGCTATGCTGCCGCAGTCGTGACAAACCTGCTACGTACAAAGCCGTTGTTTTGGCTGTGGGTCGTGAAACTCGTTATTAGCTAAAGAACTATTCAGCGCAACTAGGACAGGAATAGGAAAGGGGACATGAGTAGAGCCTTACAGTTAATGTGTTCATGGTGCTATGGGCGGAACGGGAGGGGGAGGAGAGGGGAGGGAAGTTGAAGTCAAAAATCCGTAAAATCGGGCTCCAGAAGTACCCAATGACCTGAAGTAAGATAAACGTGAGCTGCGCTTCTCTAGATAGTATATGGGATTCTTTTTAAGTGGGACTCCCACACGTTTTGCACTTACAATTAGTCTCATTTGAAGCCAAGTGGGAGAGTGCGGCATCATTCACGTTTTTTTTCTTTCGGCAAGCAACAAGACTGGATCTTATCGTTCGGTAGCAGTCGTTTTCCACTAACTGCTGTCGCTTATTCGCTTTAGCAACGGGTGGGAAACAGGCTGGCACCGCCTCAAACCCAGCCTCATCATCCGCAGCGAAGAATAGTGTAAGTGAAATCACCCACTGACATTGCTCGATTTTAGCAAAGTTCATTTCTGAATCGCAGATATTTACAATTTTTTACAATTGAACAAACAGAAATTGAAGGGGTGTGGAGCGTTGAATCAAGACTTACAGGATCAGCAAGAATCACGACTTGCACGCTGGCTTTTCCTGGTGTGTCGAGAGTGGTGAGCTCTTTCAGAATGGGTAGCTTAGCCGCTTTCATTTTCTCTTGCAATGCAGAAAGCTGTAATTAGAATAGTGTTTTGGTGGTCAGAACAGCTACCAACCCTAGACCTTGTAATAAACTTTGGAAAACCCACTCCATCATCGGGATAGGCGAAGGCTATGCGCCCATAACCGCTTCCTCTATCCAATGCGGTACCTTCTGGAAGTTGACGTACTTCAAGGCAACACTGAAAATATATAAAACCAGTGTTACCAAACGTTTCCTTCACAGAGATCAAAACCCACCAACCTGACCCTCGCCAAAGCTCCATAGTGATGCGTCCTTTATCTCGTTGCTCAACAACCTTCATTCCCAACTGATTGGTCCAGTAATCTGAAAGGACGCAACCATTCATAAACTGTAGAGACCTGGCCAATGTGCTGAGTTCTCACCAACGCTTTTTTGGAAATCCTGTACTCTCACGCTTACTTTGACCACCTTTGGAGGGTCTTGTCCAGGGCATATGAGGAACCAGTGACCGTCAGGATCTGTGAGCTGAATAAAAGAGTTATAGTATTAATCAACTTGAATAGGAAGAATTTCATTCAGAAAGCCATGAATAGACGTATAATTTCGGCTATGAAAGGCTCGTATAGACCGAGACCGAACCTTGCTTGCAATCAATTCCTCTTTGAATGGCGGAGTAGGACCATGATTCTTAGGAGAACGTAACTAACTACAAGACAAGTACCTCGGATATAACCTTACTGGCTACCATAACATCATAGTTGGTGCAGTTCGGCGACAGGAGGGGGGTGGCAAGAGGGGTATTTTGCTTTTCCGCTGCTTCACAAGTTCTGGTTCACAAATCCCACTCTGGTGAAACCTGTGCACTCCCGTAAAGTGTAGTAAGCAGAGCTACCATAATAAATGAAATTTGTATGGTGTCTCATTGCTTTATAAGAGTTGACAGGCAGTCTCTAGTAACTGACTGTCATCTTCCTGTTACTTCACAAGATTCCGCAGATCTTCACTTATGTGCTGACACG